GTCAAATGGCAAGTTCAAAACATTGGTTACTATAAAAGTTATACTTTCGGTTGTGTATATTAACTATTTTGCAAGGTACAAGGAATTTAAAAGGGCACTTAATTGTTCACATTACCCTTACTCCTAATTTCAAAGCCAATGACTTTGTAATCCTTCTTAGCGACCTTATTATTTTTCCTCTTCATTTTCTTTTCTGATATTGTTACTTTTCCAGAGGAATGATATTAAAATTTCAATAAAACATTAATGAAGAAATGATGGCAGCAGATAGGATTTAGTGTTTAACATGGCTAAACCCGATATGAAGGCTCTTCATTCCATGAGAGAAAAGAATTTGGTTGGTATCAGTGTGTTCATCACAACAGTGCTAGCTCTATCTATTGCTCTAGCTTTTGATTGAAATAAATTTTGATGCTATCTTTTCTTTGGCTTAAGACTACTACTTACACATAGACAATAACATTCATTGAGCATCTGGCAAATGTCTTTTGATTGGCAGGCATGTTAATTGGTTTGAGAGCTGAGTTTGTACTTAGTGCTAAAGGTAGATACACTTGGAGTGTACAAAAATCGAGGAAGATCGGGTCATCTGATGAGCTGATAATCAGTTGAAGCTTCAAATTCGGTGACCCTGGCAAGATTGTGCTCACACTAGATAACCAAAATTAAAAAAAGAATAAGCTCATCTACAGGTCCAAGAATAAGTCCTTTGATTTAAAGTTTGTGTTTAATTGTACTAAGTAAATACTTCAGGTTTTGTATCTTTTAAAAAAAAGATTTTTTTTTTATCATTTTAATTAAATAATTATTCCTTTAAAACCCTAATTATCAATTCATCCCCCTCCAAACCCCCCCACACACGATAGTCTCTCTCTCTCTCTCTCTCTCTCTCTCTCTCTCTCATCCTCCCATTTTCCTCCTCCATCCCTACCTCTTCCTCCCTGGCATTCATCCCTGCCGATTTACAGCAGCGTTCGGGGTGGAGGTGGTGTCGATGGTGCTGTGTGGATTTGTTGTGGCTGTGGTTGTGTGGCTGTGGGTGTGGCTGATGGGTGGGTGGATTTGGTGTGGGTGTGGTTGTGGGAAGCTGTGTGGTGGTGAGGGCAACGATGGGACGGTTGTTTTTTGTTATTATTATCGTGATGGTTGTGGTGATGTTGTGATGGGGTGATGATGGTGGTGTTGTTTAAGCGGCAATGGTGGTGGTTGGTGGTGTTATTGTTGGTGGGTGTTTTAGGGATTAAGGTCGGCAGTAGAGGTGTCAATCCGGGTGGTCCAGGCCGAGTTGGCTCGAGTGAAAAAAACCCACCCACTACGGGTTTCGAGTCGGCCTACAAATTTTGGATTACAACCTAAGCCTGCCCGCTGACCCATCCGGGTCGAGCCCATGCGGGTCACGGGTCGTCGGGTCGTACTTTTGTTTCGATTTGACCTGTATTATTGTATAAATAAAATTATAAAAATATAGAATTTTTCATATTTATAGCAAAAAATATTTATTTTTTAAATGTAAACTAAGAATTGAATAAAATGATAGATTCATAGTTATACCAAGAAATGTTTACATAGAATTCAAATTTAATGTTACATGAATTATTAATAACTTTGCAAAACTAAATAACAATTAAATGCATTTCTAATTATTATTATCAAATATTTATGGCATAAGTAAATCCCAACTAGGTTAACACCTAATTTTATTATAATTTAAGTACATCCCAATTAGGTTGGCACTTACTTAAGTTTTAACTATAATTTAGTTATTCAAAAATTATATATTTTAATATTTGTATATCCCCATTTCAATTATTTACTTTTATATATTTGTTCAAAAATTATATATTTCAAATTTAAAAAAAAAATTCACTGGCAGCGGGTTAACCGCGGCACGTAAAGGTGCAACCCGCGAAGCCCGCGGGTCACACCTCCTTGACCCGTGAACCGTCCACTCGGGTCACAGGTCGGCCCGCGGTCCCGGGTCGATCCGAGCTGATTTTCACGGGTCTGATCGGCCCGTCCATCTTGACACCTCTAGTCGGTGGCGAATGTGACGAAGTATATGTGACCAACTATTTGGTCGTTCTGTGACCTGTGACAAAGTATTGTTGGTGTATTAGGATTGGAGGATGGGTGCGTCGGATGGGTCAAAGTGTCTGTGACCATCTATTTGGTCGATCTGTGACCTCGAAATATTTCGTGACCTACAAAATTTTTGATCTGTGACCGATAAAAAAATCATGACCTAAAAATTTTAGATTTGTGATCTCGAAATAATCTGTGACCTACAAAATTTTTGATCTGTGACAGGAGAACAGTCGTCGGAGTGCTTGCGGGTCACAAGAGTAGTCGCCGGAAGGGGAGGTGGGGTGGAGTAATTATATTATGTTACAGTTAAATATTTAATTTAATATAATAATTGTGAAATATAATTAATTAATTCATGAAAAACCTGATTTTTGCAATTTCAAACTTTGGGGGTCTGATTTTTGATTTTGGGATAGATAAAGCCTAAGTTGTGAATTTTTCCCAATACATTTTGTTAAATAAAGTTCATTTTGCTAACTTCATTGAATGTATATGCAACGCTAACATAACCTTAAAAATAAAAAAACTCGTGCATTGCACAAGCCAAAACTAGTATCAAAATAAGCCTTTAGCTTTCTTTTTCTTTTTTTATTATTTGTTTTTGAAGGATATATTGTCGACACGATGAAATAGGCCTACATTGCGGTTTTGGGCTAAAGCTTTTCTATCCACTCTACTCAATGTAGGAACATAAGACTACCCCAACGCCAATGAAGCCCAGATCTGTTGAATAGTAGCATTTGTGTTAAGCTTTATACTATGTATCGTGAATGCTATTCAAGAGTGGTATCTCATTCTCTTTAAATAGAGCTTTAAGTATCTCGACAATTTCATAATGTGCATAAATAAATAAATAAATAATTGGGTTCCTCCTCTCACATTAACACAAAAAAATCTGGAATTTACTTTGTTTTGCAATTATGTGATGTGAAATCATATGAACTGGAACTCATTTTAGTTGCTTTGGACCTTTGGTTGCTAAAAAACAAGTAGATTAGGTGAGAATTAAAATAATTGTGTTTTTGATAAATATTTAATTGCATCACATGTCTCATTTAAGTATAGCCATAGATAAAAGAAACTGGGAAGAAGAGAATATTTTCTCTCCCTTTACTGTTCATATATAAACTCGGAAAAAATGATATTTCACACCAAATTAAATGGAACATAAGATCTAATATTTTCTTCTTAAATTCTTGTACGTTTGAAAAAGGCGTAGAGTGGTGATTGGTGGAGTCATTCGGGTTGAGAAAGGAAGTGCTGATATGTTGTTCGACGAAGCCATGCTAGGGGTACTTGTGTCATAAGTTGTTCAAATATTGGTAAATGGGAATTGATCAAATGTGGTTGAAAAAAGATTAAAAATTGAAAAAACAGTTGAACAATTTTTGGACAGTTTTGGTACCTTTTTATCCTCTTTTACCATTCTTTTGTAAAAAGTTGATACCCATACAAAAGTGTATGAAAGAATTCTAAAAATAGGAATAGAATACATGGTTCAGAATCAATCTTTTCTCATTTTATCATCCCCAAATACTCTCAAAATCTACTTATAATTTAGTCTTTATATTCTATATTTTCTTTTCATCTTCTTATTTTATTTCTTGTTTCCATTGTTGTATCATATTTTCAACAGAAACCTTTCCGTGGGACACTTCGCTTTGACATGAACTCGTTCAAAGAGGTTGCTGCCAAACTCGTTGTAGCATTTTCGGTATTGACTTGCCCAATACGATCCATACTCAAAGAGAGCTCTATGTTTTATTTCCAAAATGAGAATTCTTCATCTTCTTACAATGCCAACTTCCAAGAAAAGCTGTCTAACATGTCCATGTTTCACAGACCGCAAGTTTCGCTCCCAAGATTTCATGCCTCGAAGCAGCCTTCCATTCACTCTTAGGTCAACAAGCCCGAACAATTGGCACATATGCATGCTATGAGTAGGATGTCTGAGAAACACCTGCATATGATAACATCATTGGTACACTCTTTTGTAAAATATGTCATCAGCCTAACTGTTGGACACCTAATCACGCTAAATAAGGAGATAAACATTCTCACTACGTGACATTTCCCCCCATTCAAATCCGCTTACGCCTTCATAAGAGGAAGTGAGCTTCCCATCAACAATTGTTCTCTTATTGCAAGAATAACAGCGACACTATCTCCTCATGGACGGGCATTCACGCAGTGCTCCATTGCACATCACCCGTAGTAACTCAAAAATTCCGCATTCAACACCAACCTTTATCATATGCACCCATAAACATTAGTTTCTCGGATGAAGGACCTCTAGCTACAGGGCCTAAGACATAAAGACAAAACTTTATTTTAATTATAATTAAGCCCAAAGTTTTTATTATAATTGTAATTAAGTTTCAATACTTTATAGAGTTACCACAAGGATCTGATCGGATATATATTATCCAAACTCCAATAGATATGTCTAGTCGACTCTAAACCACTTAATCTAATTATTAGTCTTTATTTTTTCACTAAAGACGAAAGATTGTACTATCGGAATAAATAAGATCACAAAAACCAACAAATCTGTAACACTTTATCTTACCTACCGTATATGAATTTAATCCCTGTCCAAGATTCGATAATTAGGTACAAGTAAAAATTACCATTTTGCCCCTATAATTATTCTCACTAACTCAAGTAACATTTTCTTCAACGATCATGTGAACTAATCACATATGTCGAAGTTTAGCCATCTCTTAACACTGATCTCAGATTTTAACCGTTCAATAGAAAGACTTAAGTAGCCACTACCCATTTTTCAGAGCGACGGTTCCCGACACAAATTCATGTTCTCTACTTCGCTTATTCTCAAGTTTCCAACTCACATAGATATTTGATTAATCAAATTGATCTCACCCACTAGTAAATCAAAAAACCATTAAAATCATGAAAAAACATACATGACCCTATCAAGGAATTTAGATGAAATAGATGGCGATCAAGTGAAATTTAATTCTCCGCACGGTCATACTATATAATTAAACTCGACACGTGGTCCGTTCAATACACTCCAAGAATTATAGTGTCACGTTTAACTATTAATATGATAAGGACAAATCACAAACCTGAATAGTGAATCGGCCAACACTAGAACCTTTCAATTAAAGGTGCCCCTTATACATTGGTTGTGAACAAATTGTTTTTTATCAAAATATAAGTTGTACCACTATATACTTCTCAACGTATGTATTCAACTTGTAAGTATCCAACTTATATTATCACAAATTATTATAGACACTTTAATTTGCATGCTCAATAATAAATAAATTCAACAAATAAATAAAACCACAATTTATTTATTATAAATTATTATTTTATCATAATGACATATACTATATACGCACACATTCCGACAAGGCACACTCGCGTAATGCTTGCCCTTCGCATCCATCTTCTCCATAGCTTGCTTCATCATGTTCCACATGCTTGCCAACATGATTTGTGGCCAAAAATCTTTTCTCGGAAAGAACACATGCCATTGATCTTCCACAACCAACAACGCATGTTCGAGCGATCCTACTTTGCTACCAACTTTTACAGACTGTAAGTTCGGCTCCAAAGGCTTCACGCCTCAATGTAACCTTTCCCTCATTCCTTAGGTCGACAAGCCCGAACAATTGACACACACGCATACTAGTAGGATGTTAGGAAAATACTTGCATACTATTGTATCATTTAACAGAAAATGGGATCAAAAGAAGTAATAGAATATGATTCATGTGCAGTATGCGAGGTTTGTGAAGTCAAGGATTTCACTCAAAACAAGCACCAATGGTTTCATATAACTGAGTTAGAACAAGCCACAAATGGATTCTCCCAAAGAAATGTGATAAGACGAGGTAGAAATGGAATTGTATACAAAGGTCCTTTCAGATGGGACTGTAGTTGCCATCAAGCACATTCTTGATTTTGAAACAGAAGGGGATGACGAGTTTACAAATGAGGCACAGATCATAAGCAAGAGAAGACACTAAAATCTTCTCTCTTCG